TGGGGGTGAAGGAGGACTTGACCCGAGGGGCGCTCTTGGAACGCGCCCGCCTCTTTGGCTCCCCCCGGGGGGCCGGCTCCTTCGGCCCATCCTTGCCATGGGAGCGGGCCTTGCCCACGTATTCCTCCACGGCCGAGGCCCGGACGGAGGCTTTCCGCCCGCCGGGGACCGACGAGGGCTCAGGGGTGGGGGGCCGTCGGGAATGCCGCTCCATGATGACGGGAGGGCTGGAGGGCAGCGGGTCGTCCAAGGACTCCAGGAAGTCAAAGCTGCGACAGTGGCGCTTGTTGAAGTGTTGCTGGGGGTGTTGGTTGTCGAGAGGCGAAGACATGGAGGTGTCACCTGGCCTGGGGGGCTGGCGCGAGGGAGAACGGGAGGAGGAGGCGGCGGCGACCGGGGACACCCGGATGTCCTGATACACCGTCGATACCAGGAAATCAGGAGGGTGTGTTCGGGTCATCTTAAAATCAGCTCTCGCCCCTCGCCCTTCGGATCCGCCTCAGATCATCTCAGCGCCACACGACTGCCAGCCCTGGGAAAGACAGAGAAGAGAAGGAAGTCGGACGGACGGACGTGGGGTGGGAAGGTGCAATGGACCCCGGACATTAAAAATACAGGCCATGGGACTTCAAGGAAACCCTCGGACGGACGGACGGACGGACGGACGTGGGGTGTGAAGGTGCAATGGACCCCGGACATGAAAAATACAGGCCACGGGACTTCAATGGCTCCCCGCCAGGTTCCCGAGGAAACCTCACTTCCATGGCTCAGGATAAAGGCAAAGCTTCGTTGGACTACACGTTCCAGCATCCCCCCCATCAGCCCATTTTCTATTCTTATCTTTTTGGGAGGTCTAAATCTCCAAAGCGTTCCGAGGTCTGGCTACGGCAGGAACTGTTCCTGCTTTTACAATCTGGAATCAATGTTTTGCATCGGGAAGGGGGGGGCTCGGCGGTTGCTCCTGGGGGGGGTCGTCCGGCGCGCGGATGACTGACCTGGTTTGGGGAGAACAGGTCGAAACGAAGGCCCGGCTTCCCTGGGCGGCCCCTCTCGGTCCCAGGCCTGCCTTCATCGCTGAGAAAAAAAACAAACATGAAAAAAAGTGGGTTTAGATCCGGCACCTCCTCCCCGTCGGTGGCTGCTCTCTCCGGCCCCCTCCCCTGTCGTTTCGAACCCCTGACCTTGAGCCATGCCTTCCGAGTCTCCTGGCCGTGGAAATCCAGCCGCATCCCGAGGGCCGAAGATGGAGAAGGAGCCCCTGCGGAGGAAATGCTCTGCTGTAAAAAGGCCTCCTTGCGGCTCAGAATTGGGCCCTGAGAGAGGCGCCCTGTCTCAGGGCCACGTGCAGAGTGCCCTTGAGCCCAAGGGAAGCCTGGCTGGCCGGCCAGGAGCCGCTGACCTGGCCAAGGCGGCCGGACTCCAACTCCCATCAGTGCCAGCCATTGGTGGATGATGGGACTTGCTGTCCAGCCTCTTCCCCAGCGAAGGTGGGTTCATCTCTTTGGATTCTTTCGGGTGGGGATTCCCACCCCCACGCTCTCCACGTTGGGGGCCCGGGGGAACCAGCCCCGATCTCTCTCCCGCCAAGCGTGTCATTGAAATGCAGCGGCGCCCCCCAGGGCAAAATGTGCTTAGTCATGCCGCCGCCCCCCTGTGGGAAAGCCTCCAGCTTCCTCGGGGATCCCACCGCCTTTCGCACAGAGAGCGGCTCTGGCTGCGGCTGTTGCACCGGAGCGGGAAGGAGCAAGCCCTTTCCTCATCAGTTGGCAACCCAAAGCTTCTGGCCGCCTTTTCAGGCTGGTGGGGGGGGGGGAGAACCTGCAAAAGCCGGCGCAGGAGATCCAGAGATAAAAGAGCCCAGCGTTGCCATGGCGCGCACACACACACACACACACCAACATTTACACTTGCCTCTCCCGGAGAAGCAGTGCATGCTGGGAACTTTTTTTGGGGGGGGGAACCGACCAGGATGGATGGAAGGAAGCAAACCAATCTGATGGGAGGGTGGGGTGGACTGGAACCCCCATCAGCCCCAGCCAGCCAGCACAGACCGCGCTGGGGGAAGATGGGAGATGTAGTCCAGGAAGACCCGGACGGCTGCAGTTTTCCCACCCACCCTTTCTAGAGTTTGGGCAAGACCAGACCAGCCCAAAGTTTGGGAATCCCACGGCCAAGGAAGGGGGTTGCAAAGGGGAGACGGGGGTGTGTGTGCGCCCCCTCTCTCCCCCCCTTCACCTCCACACCGATTCCCACAAGGAGGCAGGAGGTCCTGGGTTCAAACCACCTCCACCCCTACATCCTTCCAAAACCCTTCCAGATCCCTAGCATACACAACCAGGGAAGAAGAAATTAAACATTTCCCCCGACATTAAGCTGCCACAAGCAAAATGCTAGCCACCAAACCCACCCTCCTACACACATGTAAAGGCCATCATTGATGGGATTCATCCTGCCATCTATGGGGAAGGAGTCTCTAAGAAATCTCCTGTAAAGTGGGAAGGCCCTGGCTCAGCCTTTAAAATCTGGGTAATCAAAAGGAGGATCTCCTGACATGTTCCTAGTCCTCATTGACTAGGAATTCAGCTAATCGGCCTATTGCAGAGCCTTGCCATGAAATATTTTCTCTCTCTCTGGGCTCCAGAAAAGAGGTGAGGAACTCAGCCATTCGGAGACCCGGCAGAGCCATCTCTCCTGCCAGGAAGAAGCGAACCCCTGGAGTTTTTTTTTAAAATCCCTCATTATTGATGTCTATTATTATTTATTCACACATAGTTTATAAACTGCTTAGCTCTAAACACACACTGTAACAAGAACATGCAGGGAAGACAATGCAGAAAATTAAAACGGAAGTGACCAGCTGGACCACATGGTTGCAACGCTTGGAAAAACAGGTGATTTTTGTCATTTAAAATGATTGAAAAATAGGTGATTTTGTCATTTAAAATGAACAGAACATGCCCGCCAGCTCCTATTTTGGGGTTGCCTTCCTGCTTAAAGCCAACCGTTCCCCCGGGGGAAATTCGCAAGCTGGGGCCTCTAAATGATGCCTCTCTGCATTGGGTATTTGGAGGTAGACATTGACTAAACATGGAGGTTCTATTTTCCCCATTTAAAACACAGTTAGGGTCTATCTGTCTCCCCCCCCCCATGTGCCCCTTTCCAAAAGCAAACAACCCCCCCCTCCGGCCCTTTACATTCATTTGCAGGTGTTTCTGCTCCGTGGGAAACTCAGGTGCAGACTAGAGCATGTGCAAAGTGCTTTCCACCAAGACATAGGAGGGGGGAAATCATCTCAAGGGATCCTACAACGGGCTGATCTTCATCCCTTGCTTTCTGCATATAAAATAAAGTTTTGGGGCAGGTCACGTCAAAATAAAATTTAAAAAAGGTGGGCAGAGCCATCCGGGCCAGAATCAAACCAGGGTGGATCTGTTCTGATCCTCAGAGCCGAGATCGAGGCGGCTCTTCCTGGCAAGGCAAAAAGGGGGGGGCTGTTTTCACCCCTTTGAACCCGTAACCACCACCTTTTCTTGAAACACAACCTGATCCCTGGCCAGGCTGCATGCAGCCCCAGGAAAATAGGAGATAAAGCTGGGTGAGAGAAGAAAAGGCACTCTGCACGCGCCCAGAGGCATCCTTTCGGCATAGCACATACCGAGAGAAGGTTCAGGAGGAGAGTTTTTGGGGTTGAAAGCGACGTTTTTTGCTTCCTTTCCAGATTTGCAAGC